TATGACAAATGTTTAATTTGTTAAAAAAGTTTAAAAACAAAACACAAAATATTGCACTTATCCTTTTCTAACAAATCGTCAAATTATCATTTGAAACAACATTTCCTGTCCTGTACACACCTTTCTCAGGGTGAGCGGACTGTCAGGATTAAAAGAAATCTTATTACTAAGAAAAATGTTTGCAATATTTTTTAAAACCTCTCATGGTTCCAATGTATTACACATCAATTTGTAGAATAAGTTAGTAGTACAGTTACTAAAGTTTATAAGGTTATTACTGCACAAGCCTTTAATCATTGCCTTTTTCTTGGGATTTGACCGCTACACCTGAGCACTGTACTCAATGGGTTGTAAGACAACATCCAGCCCCAGTTTTATAGTGAAATCACGGGACATTCAGTGCTAATTGAATTATTAATATCAGTTGGTGGAAACCGATTATATTGAGACCCTCTTTGCATCGGAAGCAAGATTGATGATTCTGGAGGAGCTTGGTCAAGGCGAGAGGAAGCTTGTCTTGACCTTAGCAAAAGCAGGGCACAGTGGACATCAGTTCACTGGGCACACATGCACATACTGTTCAGTAAAGCCTGCAAACTCCACGCAGAAGGTGCCACAGTCCAGGGTAAAACCCAAGAGCTAGGAGGCTGTGCTGCTGTCTGGAAGTGTACTTTCCTCCCTTTCAATTGAATTGCTCAGAAGTGTTCGGTATGCGAAGCTCAATGCCTTAGGTCCTAGCTTATCTTGTGAAGGTCCACAAAAAAACCCAGAAAATAGCAGATTTTTTCCTCAACAAAATTGGTCATTGTTATAAATTAAAATACCTCGACTTACCCGCGAGGAAAGAAGGGATCTGCACAGACGGTCTCATATTTCTCCGATCGAGTGTAAAGGTTTCTGTGTGGCTTACTTGTCAAGCTTCCTGCTACCTTATAAAAGGAAATGAGCAAAAAGCTCTTTCATGAGTCTATCTGTGGAACAGAAGGACAGAAAGGAACTAAGCATCAGTGCAGCCCTTCCGATTTAAAAAAAAAAAATCAAATAATCAATAATGAGCTTTCCACTGTAGCGCAAGACAGGCCACTGATGTTTAAAGACTCAGAGATATGGTTTGTACAGCCTGAACAGGCTCAATATAATCTAAATTAAGGCAACCACAGAGTCTCGTAGTTTCGGCCAAAGGGGGTGTGAGGTCAGACAAGCACTAGACAACAGGAGGAAGTTGTGCTCATGGTCTCCAAAAAGCACGCTCAGCCTTATGAGCCTTATGATGCAACAAGCCAGCTGTTATGTGTGAGGTGTCTGACTTTGGATGGATGTGCATTCTGTGTGAAGTTTGCATGTTCCACTCATTTCCAGGCATTTCTTCCATTTGCACCGGTTTCCCCCCCCCCCCCAAGAAAACATGCTGTCTATTTTAGTCAGCTTTGGGCAATCGGTTTTTGGGTCTGCACCCATCCAGCATGAATGTTTAAATGCCCCACTCACTGTTTTATTTTTTCAATCTGTTAAGTTTAGCAAATAAATAGCAATTGTGCATTACAATGTGCAGAAATATGTCAAGCTTAAGGATGTTCCCTGCAGAGGTTAAGTTAACTTCTTTTCACTTAGAGATTATGAAACATGCAATTTGACCAGGGGTGCCAAAACTTTAGCATACAACTATACATTTTAGTTTAGTTAACTTTCCAACCCTCATATCAACATTATCCGTGAATCTACAATTAAGGTATCAATAAATTAAATCATTTCTGGTATATTGACCCAGTATATTGACCTAAATACCTGTGTAACCACATCAAAAACATTACCATTACTACATAAATGTGCTCTGATAGATTAGTATTCTGTTTGTGAAAGTAAAACTTGCCACACATGAAACACACAAAAAACGCAGCAGCAGAACTTGGCCACATGCCTATGGGCGTCTTCTCGATCATGCTACCCAAAAAGCCTTAAAGAAACAAAATAGATGACTAAATCTGATCTAATGTAATGGAGTCATTTCACAACGCCAATCTCATTCCCCACCTCTCACATCGCCATACCAGGATTGATAGACAATTTCCAACTCTCCACCAGAGAAGTCCAGGAAAAGGTGGTAATGCAGAAACCGATCAATTTAATTAACAATTGATTCAAATGAAGTAATTCAGAGTCGAGGGTGATATGAAACCCGGAACAAATAGAAACTCTCGGTGGTGAGAGTGAATACCAGTGTTCATTAGGGGACATTCACCACTCTTTGAAGTAAAAGAACAAAGCAAATCGACAATCACATTTACAACAGCTAGAAAACGCAATAACAAAAAAACATGCCATGCTAACTACGCCTTTCAATTGAGTGCAAGTGATGTCTTTAGAAACATCTCCAGCATTCTCCCAATGCTAGCTTTCGGGGGGTTATATACAGCAGAGCGGTGACCTGGTGCTAGGCGGGTCTCAGGACATCCGAACGTCAATGCTGAGCAAAGGTGAATGAGTGACCCGGAAATATATAGCCCCAGAGAGGAAGACACCGGAAAGACAGCAAAGCACAGGAAACTAGGGACAGGACAGAGTAGGAGCGCCCTCTGGAGGGCATGACAGTACCCCCCCCCCTTCATGGGCAGCTCCTGACACCCATACAAATAAGTGAGCTGCACAGATCTGGGGGGAGGAAAAACCTCATTTAACTGAAAGGAAACCTCCGGGAGTCAACAGCGGAGAGTTGCCCCCTCCTCCAGGGTATAAACCTTTATTGGGTAGAGGAAGGGGGGGGTCAGGTAGAGCTCCAGAGACTAAAACAAAAACGACAAGTACACAAGCACAAACCACAACAAACATAAACCTGGGAGACCAGGGAAACAAACCACAAAAAACAGATAGGAATCAAAAGTTCCAAGACACACGGGACAGGGGGACCATAGAGAAGGGGAAACCAGGAAGTGAAAAATCAAAACACCAAGCCAAAAATAAAAATAAAAACCTGGGAAAAATACCACAGACTGGGCAAGACACATTCAACATTCTATCACTGATATCGGAATGAACAACCCAAGGAGAGCCAGGCACTAGACCCAGTCACAGGCACGGATGTCCAGAGTGATATCCAGCAATGAGAATAGAGAAACGGAAAAAAAAGCTTACCATTCTATCACTGATATCGGAATGAACAACCCGAGGAGAGCCAGGCAAGAAGCCCGCTCACAGGCACGGATGTCCGGAGTGATATCCACCAATAAGAATAGGAAAGCCAGCTCAACATTCAATCACAGATGCCGGGAGAGGCAACCCGAGGAAAGCCAGGTATTCGTAAGCGGATGTCGGGACAGCACAGAATGACCCGCTCACATGCATGGAAGTCAGGAGTAGCATCCCGCGATTAGAATAGAAGAACTGAAAAAAAGCCCAGCAAAAAAAGGAAAAAGCTGTGGAAAGACAAAAGGCGCTGCTCACAGGGTCAGTAGGAGGCTCAGCATTCTGTCACGGATGTCGGAAGGGACGAACCGTGGAATGGCAGGAGTGAGCTTAGCGGCGGAACGGGGGGTTAGCCCAGGCTCAGCAGTGCAAGAGTTCTGGAATTGCCGTAGAGAAACCAAAGCCCTTGGGCTACGGACAGAGTGGCCACCTGGTGCTAGGCAGGTCTCAGGACATTTGAACGGCAATGCTGAGCAAAGGAGAATGAGTGACCCGGAAATATATAGCCCCAGAGAGGGAGACACCGGAAGGACAGCAAAGCACAGGAAACTAGGGACAGGACAGAGTAGGAGCGCCCTCTGGCTGCAAAGGGCGTGACAAGTGGACTCTGGGAAAAATTGGCCCTGGTGCGTGTCTGTGTCTATCTGACCTGTGATGGACTGGTATTCTGTCAAGGGTGCATCCTGCTCTGCACTTGTTCCTTGACAGAACAGGCTCTGGCTCCCCTGCGACCCTGAATAGGATAAAGTGGGTAAAAAATGGATATATAAACAAGTAAAGACAAAGACAGTAAACGAATAAAGCGAAAAGACTGTTGCAGTCTTGCCAGGTGATCACATATTTTTTTGCACGTCGAAATCAAAATTGCCAAGTGCAGCAATTCAGCTCTGTCCAGAAGCAGAAGCAGCCGTGGTCTGTCTGAGTGCAAGGCTGTACAGCGAGGAAGAGAAGATAGAGAAGTGTGCTGTGTACTCTGAGAACTGAATGACCAGCAGGTGAAGAACTTCCTCATTACTGAACTCACATTAAGTTATTTTTGTTAATTTAAAAAAATAGATTGTGAACAATGAACAGTGAAAACAATGAAAACTCCACACATTGTAGGCCAGCCTTCTTTTACAAACTATTATTTCTGCAAATGGGAGGAAAAAGATGTGGTAAAACACTTTCAGGAATGACAGGATCTTTTTCAGTGTCTTTGTAGTTAAATGCTGTTGCCACACAAGTCCTGGGTCCCGGGCTTCGATTCTGAGGTGGAGGTCCTTCCCTGTGGAGTTTGCATGTTCCCTATAATGTCTGTATGGGCCTTCTCCAAATGTTCTCTCTCACTTTCCTTGGATATGGTTGCTAGGTTAACTGGTGTCTCTGAAAGCTCCTGCCACTTTGAAGAGACCCGGAAAACCTGCAGACACATCAGGCCTCCAGGTCCAGGACTCCCCCACCCCTTGTTTTGGATGAAGGATGGAAACACGTTTCATTTGAAACAAAGGACAAGCAGACATTTCCTCGTGCCCTTACAGTGTCACCTGTAGGAGTGTGTGCCCACAGTGCAGGCCCTGCTCAGCGGGCTGTCACCAAAGAGTAAACACCCCTGTCTTCGGGTGTGAGCTGGGGTCCAGGCAGCTGTGCGAAGGAATACAGTCCCTGGCTCTTCTCCTGAAGGTTCGACACGCTGGAGTACACAGAGGACAGGGGCCTGGCGCCTCCTGCATCGACCTCTTCATACACAGCCAGAGGAACATCATCATTCTAAACAGGAGAGAGTTACAATGAATTAACTGGAGCTGGCCTAGAAGCCTTCAGGTATCATGCAGCTAAAGAATGCCATAGGTGTGATGCAATAGTTGCTTAGTTGTTCATCTTGCATCAGGATCTGTCCCAACTGATATTAACATTTGTGATGTTGTATCCTTACAGTTAGCAACACTGGGAAAGCAGAGATCAAGTTACTGCGCAGAAGGAAAGAGATCGGGGTTCATTACTCATTATCCTGCATCCCTACAGTGCCTTGCAAAAAGTATTCAGACATTTTTAACATTTGTTGCTTTAAAGCTTACAGTCAAGAAACGTAGAAGTATCAACTAATATTTTTCATATACATGATCTTCTCCACACACTCAAAGCAAAAGAAAGAAGTAAATAGAGAGTTAAAAGAAATAAAAGTCATGATTGCTTTAAATATTCAAACCCTTTATGGTGGCATACATAAATTAATTTAAGGTCATAAATGTATCATAATGAGCCACGCAATTAGTTAAGTGTCCCCTGTCTGTGTGTAATAATAGTATTTCTTATGATTTTAGAATAAATACATCTGTCTCTGTAAGGTTCCTGAGTCAGGTAGTGAATTTCAAGAAAGGATTCAACCATGAAGACCAAGGAGAATTCAGGTTTCAAATGAAATATTCAGATTAAAAATATGTATGCATTATTTTGTCATTTCACAAAATGGGACATTATAGGAAGGATCCCATTTTGCAAGGCACTATAATCTATATACTTAGATAAATAAATGCATTCCTGGTGAGTTTATTTGAATCGACACAATTTTATTCACATGACACCCTTGAGACACCATACAATAATTTTCAAAATCTTACCTCTTCTGCAAATAGCACATTTCAGTTAATAGCACTGGTGTTGTGCCACTCACATCATAACAAATGCCATAATAAGCATGGTGAATTTTGATGATTAACTATATAAACGTTTGACTGGGTGTACAATCTGATCAGAGAAAGTTATGACATAGAATGTAGGATTGTCTTTCATGCTTTATGCTGCTGTTATGTAGACCACATTTCGTATTGGTGCATTTCTGTTGTTTTTCTGCTACATAAACAACAGGTTAGTAACATCTCTGTTTGGTGAAAATGGATAACCAGGGTTAATCTATGCTTATCAAAGGAACATAAGCTATAAGTGAAACCTCTTGTGGGTTTGTCAGGCCATTGTGTCAGCCTGGTTAGGAACTACACACAATCACGATCAGAATCAGCCTGCATTCATGTATAGCTCTTCTTTTTATAAGATCACTTTATTAGCCATATATAATTTCTTGTATTGGGAATTTGTCTTTTCACATACCCCAACTTGCTCTCCATGAGACACACAGACAGGGAGAGAGGCTTGGGTTCAGAGCCCAGTGTCAGCCATTTATACAGAGCCCCTTGAGCAGTTGGGGTTAAGGGCCTTGCTAAGGGGCCCAACGGAGTAGGATTCCTCTGCTGGCCGTGGGATACAAACCGGCAACCTTCCAGCTACAGGCTCAGATCCTTAGCCACAGAGCTACCACACCACCCCTTTTGACTGTCCTGTTCCACACTCTACTATTATTGTCACTGTCTATAGACCCCAAAGCTTAATGATGCCTTTTAAGGTGAGTTTACTGATTTACTTTCTATTTTATGTTTCAGGTTTCAGAGGATCCTTATTCTTGGTGATTTTAACATCAATGTTGATTCAAGGTCTTCCAGTTTAGCTGAGGATTTCCTAGCTTTGCTGGAATGCGTTCCTTTCAACCAGTTCGTTCTCAGCCCGACAAAGGTCACACGTTGGATTTAGTAACTGCAAATGCCTCTTTTGTTTCTCACTTATCACACAATTTCCCATTTCATACTTTTCACCCTCACACTCTGTGGTCAGTTGACCAGACTTAGTTTTGCTACTCTAGACTCTGTTACTCTTGAAAACAGGGTACAAGTGTTTAATAGCTCTTTCTTGATGACTCTTGACACCATAGTTCTGTCACGATATTAGTTCCCCCTCCTTAAGGGTGCTCCAGCTCATTTACTTAAGACTTTATTCTCTGCACCTGTTCCCTATTCCCAGCCCACCTTAAAAGCCAGGCGCTGACGCTCATCCGGGCTCTGCATCTGATTTCCGTATCGTGCGAGTCCGGGACCTGGAAGCACCTGGTCCCGTTAAGGTTTTAACCCCTGTTCCTGTTCCTTGTCCCCTGTCCGCCGGTTCCGACCTGGCCTTCGTGGTTTTAACGTCGTGTTTTGATGGATCTCCTGGTTTTGGACTTTCTCGTGTGTTTTTGGATACTCTATGGATTACTCTTTGGGATTGTTCGCCTCGGCCACACCTCCCCCGTGCACCAGCGCACCTTGGACACGCCCCCTTGTCTTCAGCCCCGTTTTCCTGCATGATGTTTCCCTAGTGTTTCCCCACTCCGTCGGACTGTGTCGTCCGCATAGGGTCCGGAAAGAACTGTTCGTTACAAGTTCCTCTTAAAAATCAAACTTTCTCCTTTAATAATAGTAATAATAAACTTTATTTTATATAGCGCCTTTAAAGGTGGCATCTCAAAGCACTTTACAGGATGACAACAACAATAAATAAGAAGAATACACAAGATAAAATTACAATAATTACAATATATAGAGGAGACCGTGTTAGAAGAATGGAACCAGTTAAGTAAAGGCATTTCTGATGAAGAGGGTTTTGAGTCTGGATTTGAAGGAGGTTAGAGAAGGTGACTCTCTGATATCCTTGGGGAGAGAGTTCCAGAGCTTGGGGGCATAAGGGGAGAAGGCCCTGTCACCCATACAATGTAGATGGGTTTGGGGGACAGTAAGGAGAGCAGAATTAGAAGAGCGAAGGTTGCGAGGTGGGGAGTAGGGCGATAATAGTTCAGATAGGTACTGAGTTGCCAAGCCATGCAGAGCCTAATAGGTGAGACTGAGAGTAAAGTATCCCTATGGTATACTTTACTGGCTCTGCCCTATGGTATACTGACCAGTTGTACTCAAGGAAGGCAGTGGCCCACAAACTATAAAGTAGGTGTTGTCTTTCTGGCCTGAACATTCATTTTCAGTCTTGGAAGGAGCAATTGACTGACATCTGTGCTCCTTTTGACACTGTTACTTCTGTGTCTTACTTTTTTGCCTTGACACTTTATTTGGAGTTTCTGACATGTTTCTGGGTGCTGACACTTTGTCTCTCTCTTGGCGGTTTCAGTTCTGAAGTTGGACTCGTTAAGTCTGGTACTCAAATTTACGTCCATACTAAACCTGACATTGAACTGGCTGTCTCTGCTCTATCAAATTGCATCAGTGACATAATCATCATTGACATCATTTTCCTTTATTTAAACTGCAACAAGTCTGAAATCATGCTCCCAAGCACCTTCCAACAACTATGTAAAGGCAATGCAGTACACTTATCTGTGGATGACACTGTATTTGAATCTAAATTGATGAACTTGGGGGGTGGTATTTGGTCCAAGCTTGAAATTTGATCCACATGTGCATCATTCTTTCATCTTAGAAATATTGCCAGACTACATGTTGTCACTGATAGCTGCTGAAAAGCTGGTCAACACAGAAAAATATGTCTGTAACCAGTTTGCATCTGCCTCCACTGGGGTTCACACATTGGAAATCGTGGGTACCTCCTGCTACAGAGCCACAGAGCATCACTCCCAAGCAGCTGATAATTTCCCTACTCCAAAGGGCCAGGCCTCCAGCCATATAAATTCCAAAGGGATGACATCACGTCTAGCAACAGCAAGCCTCTTTGTGAAAACATACCAATGGTTGCAGCCCTTACTGTAGATTACATCAAATAAAAAAGTATGGGTAGGGCTATGTGTTTACTTGAAGTGTTTCGGATTATTTCGGAGTTGTGTCTGATGTGGCGTTTGGCATCGTAGCTCACATTGCTCTGGCCAGTGCAAATGCACCGTAAGTGGTTGTGTCTCTCTGACTTCTCTAACTGTGCACTTCACTGCGATCTGCAGAACTTGATCCGACCAAAATGCCGATAATTTTCCTTTACCACCTTAAATATTAATGTACATTATACACAAGAAGCACAACTTGAAAAGAGAAATACGTCACTTTCAGAACAAAGCTGAATAATACTATACTATAACATTTTCTCACTCCTTATTCAGGCCTTATTAGCACAGTCAAAGAATTGTGAATAAGCTGTGGTTGAAGGATGTCATTACCTGCACGTTTGCCTTGGGAAGTTCCACGATGGGGAGATTCTTAACTGGTAAAACAAAACAAAGAAACATGTTTTTCTGATTATTGGCAGAATGCATAAAGCTACAGCTAGGATCTTATAAATAAATAAAATAAACAAATAGACAAAAAAAAGCTTGTTGCTACTCTGCAAACTGTGTGTGCTGTTTTTATTTCTTCACATGCTGTCTCCCAAAAAGATATACAAACAGAAAATAAAATGTTCTTATTTTCAATGACTATATTTTCTCATGTGTTTCTAACCTTTCACTGTTCATTTTGGAAGGTCCTCCTGCTTGCCCGTGTTGTGGAGTGACTGGCCCTCTGAACTAGAGCCCCTGTTTCAACACACCTGATCCAGTCATCAGCATCAGCAGGTTGTCCTGTCAGTCCAGTAACAGCTTCACTGCAGCAGCTCACAGTCACAGAGGAGGGGTCAGTCACAGGCTACTGAGTCTGGAGAGAGTAGCTCTGCTGCAGCTCTGTCCAGCACAGCCCAGCCCTGGGCAGCAGTGCTCTGCTGAGCTTTACTGATGGGCCAGCTGGAGGAGACTTACCCAGGAAGCGTATGGCTCTCCTCTGTGTGAAGAGAATGACAGCTGCCACCAGGAGCCCACAGACTATCACTGCAAGGACTGCCAGAATCACAACATGGGCGTCTACAGAAAAACACACACAGTGCTCATAAATTGCATGGTTTGCACTAATGGGATTGTTGTTATGGGTAAACTCTATTTACCTGACTATAAATGAAGGCAACCACACTCACAAAGCAGAATATACTGATACAATAGTTGATAGATACTGGAAACATCTCAATGATGCCTATCCTGTCCACAATCCCTGTAATCCCAGAGGAGTACAAACTGCACCCGTCTCATTTCAACATAGTTCTCAATCTGGTGAGGCTACTCTGGTCTTTCTGTTTCCAGCTGGTAAGTGAGCAAGCAGCAGTCATGATTCATCTTAATTTACATGGTTTGTCCATGATTTCTTTTCACTAACACAGAACGTATGGAATGTCGGAGGCCATTATCTTTGACAAGATGTCCCGGAATCATATCCACCCTATCTCCAGCAGAGGTGCACTTTATGTCTAGAAGAATACAAAGGATGCCTCCTGATCTTTTTTTATAGTTTCTTATTGCCCTTGGGATTAACTACCCAATATATTGTAATGGACCAGCGGGGGGGGCGCCCACCCTGCGGTTTGTCTGGGTCCTAATGCCCCAGTATAGTGGCGGGGACACTATACTGTAATGGGCGCCATCTTTCGGATGAGACGTTAAACCGAGGTCCTGACTCTCAATGGTCATTAAAGATGCCCGGGCATTTCTCAATAAGAGTAGGGAGTTATCATTCCCTTTGTCTGGACCAAATGTCACCATTCTGCCTTTACCGTGGCCTCTAAATTGTCCCCTTGCACTTGCCCTGTGATGGACTGGCGCCCTGTCCAGGGTGTACCCTGCCTTGCGCTCGTTGCTTGACGGGTACGCTCCGGCTTCTCGTGACACCGTGTGGTATAAAGCGGTTTGACAAATGACATGACATGATATATTTTAATGGATATTCAGCACATGTTGATCATTTGGTACTACCCCAAATTTAAAGCTTTAGGTTTCTTGAAGACCCCCAGAGATCTCCATCACCTCTTGAAGACCTGCTTTCCACCAATCACAAGAGGTTACTGTACAGGTAAATGAGCTCACCTGCCAGGGCACTGCCATTGGTCTGTGCGCCGGAGTCAAGTCCAGGAGGTTCCTTCCCTGCTGGGCATGGAGAGCAAGTGGAGGCATCAGTAAGGGAGACAAAACAAGGGATGACCAGTCAGTCAGCTAATCTCTGAATCCACTGCAATACAGCACTGCCATTCAATTCCTCCTTACACCGTGCAATCCTCACTGAGCACTCATGACGCTTGTGGTAAAGTACTGTCAGACAGCCCTGCTGAAGTGACTCTCTCATACTCTGAAATCAAGACTGCTTTTCAAATCCTGGAGTTGGCTGGCAGAGCTCAGGTCTATGTCCACCCCCTCCCACCAACTCCCCCAAGCTTCTGCACCGTCTCCACCACAGATCTGAGAGAGGAGCTGTGTCAGCAAAGGAACAAGTAGAGGGGAGTTCAAGGCTGCAGAAAAGTGGAAAGAAGGAACGGAACTTGTTGACTGTGGAGCCTTCTCCAGGTGTGAAGAGAGAGAGACAGGGCGCAGGTGCGAACGGGCACACAGGTGAGAAAGAGTTGTCCAGACGAAGGGAGATCTGGGGCCGAGGTGTGAAAAGCTGAAATCTGCAAGGATTTTGTGAAGTCAATGAATGGAGAAGTTCTAGAAACATGTTGATCACCGAGAGCTGGGGGAAAAAAGTGATCCGGGATCTAGGAAAATCATGGCCTCTGATGTCCCTCTGGAATAAGAGTCTAGGAAGCCCTGTAAAAGGATGCAGGCAGAAAAGCCTGTGTAATCATGGCTGGAAGAAGTGGAATGAGAACTAACGGCTTGTCAACGTGGAGGGATCTTTGATCCTCTCTGCTCTGACAAGTTTCTTGAAATCGTCGACCAGTGTTCTTCCTGTTTCTCCAATGTAAACAGCAGAGCTCTTTCTGCAGGAAGCGCAATAAGAGGTTGCTCTACAGATGGCAGGAAGCCCTAGCAGCAGAAAATCATTTCAGCCATCTAATGATGCTATGGGAGATATTTGCACATTATAAACAGGGCAATGTATGAACAGGAAGCCATGGTTATAGGAGGGTCATCCCACCATGGGTATTGAAGACTCTTTTAGTCACATGGTCTGTGCTATAATGTTTACACATCTAGAATGTGAGCTCTAAAGGACTCACTGATTTCCCTCATCAAGGCCACTGTGTCACACAAGAACAGTGAAGGAACTAGAACATCTTTTATTTTGAAGCACAAATTTACTACTCCATATGCAGGCATTGGTCAAACGTATCGTCCCTACAAGCAGAAAAATAACAATAAAACAAATCTGACTTTGGATGAGGATTCTCAGGCTGTTCACTGTCACTTGCTCATTCAGTGTGTACAGTATTTCAGACTATTGCTGAACCCTGAATTAAATTGAATTCCATTATAAACAATTAAGTACAGTAAAAATACAAATAATCGACTCTTAAATTAAAAGAAATTGAGTGATGATTATTTACCTGGACTGACGCTTACTTTTATTTCTGTGTATTTATCAAGCCCCCATCGCTCCAGTCCACAGTAATACACCCCAGTGTCCTGCAGTGTGAGATTATTCATGGTCACAGTAAAGGTCCTAACTTTCTGGTTGTCAAACAGAGAGAATCTCCCTACAGTGACCATAGTGTTCCTCTTGCCAGTTGTAATGAGAACATCCTTCGTATTCCAACAGGGATGCCGACACCAGTACTTCTCATTGTCCCGATACCCATCTGGATAGCTGCACTCAATCTCTACGAGTCCACCTCTTACGCCATGTGCTCCAAATATTTCTTTGGATTTCACAAAGCCTAGAGTGTGGGGAAGAAAAAATGCATTAGAATCAGAAAGTAAAGATTTTCAGAACTGTGTACAGACTGACTAGGCTGTCAGTGTACAGGAACAGGCTGTCAGTATACATGAGCTGAAGCAGAGCAGAAGTCAACTGGGGGCATTTACTGTCAAAAGCAGAGTCCAGCACTCTACTTCAATGCTTCTCACTCTTGGTCCCAGGAACCATGTATCTGCCATTTTTTTTTGTTCCTACTAAACCCTTAATCACCAGTGCTAATTGATCCACGTGCTGGTTTCGATGTTTTTTCTGCACTCAGGCCCTGGATTCATTATTTCAACAATGTCAGCACACAGACGCACTCTCTCCTGAACACGCTAATTAGGAATTTGTTCCCTTATTTCTGACTCAACAGCTCTTGAAAAGTTAGCAAGTGATGGTGAAAAGACACTGGAGGGAATGACACTGCATCCGATACTCCCACATTTTCCTTCTGCTTAAGGCCGAACTGGCCGAACTGAGGACAGTTCTGTGAATTAATAATTTCTGACCCCAAGCTTCTCTCCCTGTCTGTGTGTCTCATGGAGAGTCAGTCATGCGGGGTATGCGAAAAGACAGATTCCTATTACAAGAAAACTGTATATAGCCAATTAAGTGATCTTATCTTATCTTCATTAGCAGAAGGGTCATCCCAATTACAAACCTCATTCAGCTTAGCCTGTGATTGAGCACAGGGTGGAGCACAACCCAGCTGTCATGCTCAGTACACCTAGAGGCACTCTACTTCTCTCCTGTTCCTAGTTCCCTGTGATTATTCATATCTTTCTGGTGTGTCTTGTTGTGTAGCCTATTTACTTCCTGTTTCTGCTCTGCTCCTCACTCAGCATTGAGGTTCAGATGTCCTGAGACCTGCATAGCACCAGGTCACTCCTGTCCATGGCCTGAGGGCATAGGTTTCTATACGGCATTTCCAGAACAGCTGAGCCCAGGCTTACCCCCGTCTCGCCGCTACGCCTAGGGTCTATTTTCGCTCTCCTGCCATTCCACGGTTCGTCTTTTCCGACATCCCTGACACAAGCAGACTCAGGGGTGTGACTATTTCGTTTCTCAATGAGAAACCTATTTTGTTTCTTGTTTTCCTACCCTCAAAAACAATGCCAAAGCGAAAGTGTAAATACACAGCAGAAAAGACTGGGAAGCTGTTTGGTGTGTAAGCCTGGTACTTTTGTCTCCATGGCAAATAAAGGTGTATTTGACTTCCAAGCTCATGTTGACACAAACACAAAAAGGCAGTTCGAGGAGAGAGTTCGTCAACCAAATTAACAGATTATTTTGTAAAATCTGGCATTAAATCAGAAGATACTGTTATTGCAGCAGAGGGGACTTATGCATTTCACACAGTTAAACATCATCACAGTTACTTTACCAATGAACATAAAACTTGGCATATTTTGAAAACCCTCTCTTCATCCCAACCCCCTTCCCAGATAACGCAATAAGAAAGTTCCTCAGGGTACTCTCTTTTTTTTATGTTGAAATATGGTCAAACCCCAGTGGCCGATGTATTATCCGCCTGCTTGCATCAGTACTCTTGGCATCTATTCCTTTCAGCCATGACATACTGTAATACTTGATTGTTGCGAGGTATTCCTTTTCGATCACTTGTTCTGTTGGCGAATGTGGCGCTAAACTGGGTCTCTGAAAGCTCGAGAGGAGTATGAACACTCAAGCATTAGTGCGTGCTGTATCGACGTAGCGAAGTACGTGGGCTGCGTATTTGACACATAAAACTAATTTTATTAAAATAGAAGATATGAAAACCCGTCTCAAGCTTTCTGAAACCGATTAAGTAAATCACAGATGAAAGATTTACATAATTTTTAATTATTCCATTTTTAATTCCCAATTTTTCAGTGCACACAAAAACAAATTTCCAGGGTCATCTGGCGTACCACCTGGGGGCACTCCATGTACCATCAGTGGTACGCATACCACAGTTTGAGAACCACTGACTTGGCTATATTACCACTGGTTCCAGGTCAGTACTCATTGTTTCTAATGTCCATACTAAAGCTGAAGCATGTGTCCCCCAGGACTAGGAATGAGTATATCTGGCCTAATCTATCAGTTACAATATCTGAAGACTTACCTCCGAGGAGAAATAGAATTGACACGCAGGATCTTATTTTCTGATGCATTCCCCGTCGGTTTATCCTTCCTGGTGGTACTTGAGCCTGAGCCAGTGAAAATGACTGAACTACAGTAGCTTTCAAGAATCGTACATGCACAGGACAGACCTGCCCACAATTGCACAAGAGACACCGCACAAAAGCACACTCAGCACACGCAAGCACACAGGCAGTTCACTCATGTCTGGAAAACAATGACCTTGTGTCTTTCTTAATTTTACTGGAAGTGTGCTGTAGTCCTAACAGGAACTTTACAAACCAGCAACATGCATGCATAACTGAGTAAAAGGTAAGATGACTAGGATCTAGATGATGCAGAACTTTCATCTTGTGGTTCCAACTAACCAAATGAAATACAAACAATCTTTACTGCAGGAATACTGAACATGATATGATGTGGATCTTATAATCGATATTTGCTTCTTCTTTAGAGCAATGTCCCACCATCGACAATTTTAACAGTTTATTTCAGTTTAATGAATGACATCAGTGTGGAGGGTCAAATTTGTAACATGGAAATATGGTCCCTCATATGTTTAAAGCTGTGTGTAGAAGAATTAAGTATGGAAATGATCCTCGCTGGGATCCTATGATCATCAGAGATATCCTCTTCATTGTCATGCCCTCTTCAGCCAGAGGGTGCTCCTACTCTGTCCTGTCCCTAGTTTCCTGTGCTTTGCTGTCCTTCCAGTGTCTCCCTCTCTGGGGCAATATATTTCCGGGTCTCTCATTCACCTTCGCTCAGCATTGATGTCCTGAGACCCGCCTAGCACCAGGTCGCCCCACGTCCGCTACCTGAGGGCATTGGCTTCTATATGACTCCTGAACTGCTGAGCCCGGGCTAATCCTCCCTTCCGCCGCTACGCATATGGGTCTTTTTACGCTCTCCTGCCATTCCACAGTCTGTCCCTTCCGACATCCGTGACATTCATTTTACAGGGTGACCCATAGAAACTTTTTTCCCAGATATTCGTATCATCCCACTGTGCCCACCACCTAAACAGCACAACCTTCTCGTCCACAGACCCTGTTACCACTCACAGAAACCATCCACATCAGGCATCTTTGCCTGTCACAGAAGCCACTGCATCAGCTGCACATATCTATCTAGTTACACACGTACACATGGGCTCTTGGCAATTTCAGAATCACACAGAGAACACGAGTAATCTCATTTCTCTTCCATTTTCTCACTGCTCTGTCTAATACTGGGTTGTGGGGGAGTCAGAGCCTATCCCAGTCAGCAACAGGCACAAGGCAGTGGACACCCTGGGTAGGACCCCAGTCCATCGCAGGGCAGACACACAACCATGCACACTCACATCAGGGTCAGTTTTTTCAGAAGCCAATTTACCTACCAGAAAGTCTTTGGACTGTGGGAGGGGCACATGCAAACTCCACACAGACAGTACCCCAGGTACAGAATTGAACCCAGGACCCCAACGGTGCAAGGCAACAATGCTAACCACTGTACCACTGGCCTGATTTCTCTTATTTACTATTAGTCTTGCAGGAAATACCTCACCATTTACATTGGCGAGACAGGAAGAAGACTGGCTGACTGTTTCAGAAAACATGCCATACTGCTGGTGTAGCAGAGCTAGTGTGGTGAGTTCAGCGCCCTCACTGCGCGTAGCAGGGTCCTCAGCTGCCTGGGCTGAGGGAGGTCTCCTTTAGCTCACGCGGATGGTGCCCTGTTGTGTTATGTTGGAGACCCGGGTTCGCACCCCAGGTGTGGGGGTCAGAAGGGGCGGCGGGGGGCACGACCCCGAGCGGAACCGTGACTGTCACACTGTGGATCAACGATCTGTCTAAGCCAGCAGTTCCCCCTCTCTCAGTCCAAAACACCTTCAAGCCTGGTTAGAAGCGTCACCAATGATTTAAAGAATGAAACCAAGTGTTTAACTGAGAGCTCAGGTGGAGCACACATCATTTCCTTCAAGGCCTTGTCCTCCTACACCTGCAAAAGCACTCACCTACCTCTGTACTCCCACACCAAGTGCAATAAGTGCGATACGTTTTCAGATTTGCTATGAAGAATCCAGTGTGTAAAGATCCTTTTGTCACATCAAACAATTCAGTTTAGAACAGTCAGACTCAGGGAAACTTAGTGTCTCTCTGACGTGATGATTGGTCATATCTCCTTGTTTTATGACATTTGTGATCAGGCCACTTATCATGTGGTTCCTTGTGCGGTGTTGTAATTCATGAATGTGTAATATATCAACACAATACAAAGTGTGGTAAAGTGGAACAGCTACAGAACATTGCCCAATAAAGGAAAGGAGTCTACAGATATGTTGCAATGAACTGAGCTATGATGGAGGTGCAGAACAGCGGTGGGAGACCGTGCAGTCCTGAAGTGTGGCCACCAGGGGGCATCAAAGGAGAATTAGTGGTTCTAGATGTCTGGGGTGAAAGCATGGTCAGTCAACAGGACACGAGAAGAGGGTGAGAGGAGAGACGAGACACTGGGCGCAGGAGGCTGTAAGGCAATGAAGAAAGTAATAAGGAACGTGAGCTGGACACAAGCCGGGATCGGAAGCCATTGAGAAGCTCAAGAAGGAGTTGCAAGAAACCAGAAAAGCAGAAAGAATGTAAGAAGTTTGCATTTTTTTTTGCAGTTTTGTGTCCTTGATTTCCAGTATAGAATTGAAATTAAGGGATCTTGTTAAAATTGTATAATACACCAGTAAGGCTTGATTTGTGATACTGTACAATTGTTGCCACCACATTATAGAAAGGGTATTGCAGCTCTGAAATCTGTTGAGAGAAGAGCAACATATATTCTGGGTCTTAAAGGAGTGTGCCACACTGACAGGCAGGAGGAACAGAACCTTTTCAGTTTGGAGCAAAAGGAGACTACAAGCGAACCGATACAGGTGTAGCCTGTTGCTCCTTGGAACCCCTGTGGCCCTGTACTAGAAGAAGAGGTTTGAAAATGGTTGGATGGAAATAACAATTACTTGCATTTATATAAAACTTTTCACCCCTAAGGATCCCTAAGCTCCGTACATCAAGGAGGGGATCCATATCATCCACCTTCAGTTACTCCTGCCTTCCTGTGGCGTCTCTCGGTCCCAGGCCCAAGGCCCCAGGCCAACGGTTGCCCAGGGAAACCAGATCACTCTCATGAGGGCTCATTGTTTGTTTCCATGGCTGTGACTGGGCCTCCTTAAGCACTAATCAGAACACCAGTTAAGCTGTTATCTCTTTTCCCATTATTCTCCAGACGTGTCTCTCCAGCGGCGTTTCGCCATTACTATTCACCAGCAGTACTGCCAAAACCACCCTTTTGTTTCTCTCGGCAGACTTTTCAGCGGCTTTTTCCTCAGCTATCCACTTTTCCCAAAAACCCCAGATGTTTCTCCAGCTGTCTCACTCTCTCTGTGAATCTGGCTTCACTGCCCTCACTCTGCTGCCAAAGTGTTTTTTTCCTGCCGCACTCCACTCCCGCCTAGAACCTCCGACCTCTTTCTTGCCTCTTGCTGTCCACCAGGCACCACTCCTGAGCCGCTTTCTGCACCCGGATATCCAGAGCTCGTCTCGAACTGTCTCTGCCCTGCCGCTGGAGCGCTCCAAGCAGTCCTTCCCAATTCTCAATGCAGACTTCCTTCGCTCCACCTGCTGTTCCCACCTGGCATCCGGGGCTCAACTCAGACTGTCTCTGCCCTGCCACTTCACTGCCTTCACAGCAAGCAGTCCTTCCTGGCGCTCACTGCATCTGTATTCCGGATCTCACCTCCGGCTAACGTCAGCCTAACCAACTTCCTGAGCACTGCTTACCCTGTCTTTTCCCGTTTGTTTCTTGTTCTTTCCAGGGCTGCCTTCCAGTGGGACCTTCCCTGATTCCGGGGGTCCCCTGCCCCGGGCTCCGTCGGGGAGCTCCGTCCGTGACTGTGCTGTCCAGGGAGCTCTTGGGCTGTCGCGAGAGGAGCGGAGATCGGGTTGGGACCCCGGTTCGGTCCTGGCCTCAGCGGTTGACACTCCCGGCTCGGTCTTAAACTGCGGAGCCTGTACAGCGTGCTGGCCTGGTCTGGGGGGCAGACCCCCCTGAGAGCGTGTGTCCTGTTCTGTATGGCATTGGCGTGCCTCACTTGGACCATCCTGGCATTAGTGTCCCGCCGGGCCTCCTGGGCAGACCTTTCCACCCTGAACTGCGACCAGGGGCTCAGCCCAGTTCTAGTCTGGAGGGCTCTTGTGCCTTTGTTTCTTTTTTTTCTTCTTTTTTTCTCTTCACTCCACAGCCCCCTACCAGCTGGATTGCTGGCTTCCGGTTCTCCTGAGCTCCGTCTGGGAATCTCTGCCCGCGGCTGCGCTGTCCGGAGGATCCCAGTATTCAAAATGGGTCAGAAGTGCTTCAGTCTGCCGGTTTACCTGGGCGACTCTAGCATGCAGGTCCGGGAAGTCTCCTTTTCCCTGGATTGCCCAGCCCAGCCCAACATAGTGATCTGCTCGGAAGCCAATAGAGTTACACCTGGTGGCCCAAGCTCCCTCAGTCCAGTCGGCGGACTTTGGCGGACAGATTTGCTTAAGGCTGGAGCTGCACTGTGTCACCCTCCATTCTCCTCCAAGGGTGCAGTGAGCCTGCCTCTCCCTGGACTGTCGTGATCTAGGCTCTTTTTTCCCTTGCTGTCCGCAAGAACCTACTTATTTATCACCTTTTTCCCTTTGGTTTTTCCCTCGGTTGTTCCCTCGGTTGTTCTGGAGTGCTAGATCCCCATACATTCAGGTCTCTACGGGCTTCTCTGTGACTCTCCGGTTCCAGATTGATTCTGACCAATCACGCCAAATCACACCCTGTGCGCTAGTGTACTTTACAGCCTCAGCATGGCACCACTTAAGTGCAACTCCCAATCTTTTACCCTATCATAGAGAAGAAAATGTCATCAATAAATAAATATACAAGTTATAACAAAATGCTGTTCACTGGATCTACATCACTAACCATAGAAATGGCACGTGTCAGAGGAAAGGAAAGAACACGCAGCAGAACGTATTGTAGTCAGAGCTGTGGAGTTCTGTGTTTAAATGCCATTTGGTCATGCTTTTGTCACAGCTGAGCCAACAATTCCATGCGGACTGTGAAGATTCTGGCCTGCAAATAACCCAACATTCGCTGCTGCTGGTCAAGTTCACTTGATCCCTATGGGTGTGATTTCCACATTAGTCAATGACACTCACCCTAAAATATGTTAAGTCTTTTGTCATCACTTCTTCTGTGACTGAATCAGCTTTCTGTAAGTCGGGGGTCATTCCTGGGTCAGAAGGCATTAAAACTGCACAGGAAACCAAAATGAAGTGCAAAACAAATGTCCGTGACTCAGTACTTTTTACAAAAGAAAAGGAAAACAAAAAGTATTAATAAACTGTACAGAAAATTCTCTACTGGGCGTTTTGAAACAACACGCAGAAAAGGATAGGCTAAGCCCACAACCAGAACTACACAAAGACAGAAAGTAAACCAGAATACCAGGTTAAAAACCCTACACTCTGCCTGTGGCTGAAAATGTTATTTGCTAATTTGTTAAGAGGGATGATCATTGGTTGTTAAACTTCAGTAACTGTTAAACTTCAGGTGTGTCTTAGTAAAATCAATGTAGGACTGTTCATCCGAACTGAGAAACTAATTTACAGTAGAGAATGACAGTGTCTGTAAAAGCTATAAGTAGCTGATTAATGATAATTTTACCATCTCAGCTGTGTGTGGTTTTGAGAGTCAAAGACCTGATGACTCTGAGTAAGATGTATCAAAGGAACTGCTGTCATTTTTTTGTCTGTTCTTGTAGAAGTGTGCACAGCAAGCAGGATGGTAGGATGCAGACAAACTGTACTCTTTCGTGAACTGTCAGCAAAGTAGTTAACATTGTTTTCTTTCGTGAGGATATTTGAACAGTATTAAACATGACAGAGACTCTCTCTCTTCCTTGTTTCCCCTTTGTGCTTTGGCTGATACTTCCCTGCAGCTGAAGTATTGTGATTCTCAGACTGTTTGTTTTTCCCCTGAAAGAGCCCTGCCCTTGTGGAGTCTGTCAGTAAAGTCTTATATCTGTATTCTCTCTCTTTCATTTCTGAGGCTGAATCTAGACTTTATCTTCTCTACTGGGCTGGATCCAGACAGTAAGATCAACAGCAGTTTTATGAGAGTAAAGCGTTGCAGCGTGTCTTGGGCTGGTGCACAATACACGCACAACACAGAGAAGGAACTGTGGGCCTGTACCTCTGACAAACTCCCCTCTCTTCTGCAGATCCTCACAGACGCCTCTTTCCACTCACCTCCAGCTGACTGGGTGGAACTGTCCATGGCTGCTGTCTCAGTAATGCCCATCAGTACAGTCACAGGCATGGAGGTGGACAAGGTGGACACTGTCATTGCTGGACAGACAAAGACACATCAGTATTGAGGTCTGATCCGGGATGCAGGTCACAGAACAATTCAGTGACGTTTTGAATCAAGTTTATGATGAAAGGCCTTCCTGAGAGACACCAGCATGTCTCTAAAACACTGCAAAGTTTTGAGCTTCTTAAAATGTGTTTCAACTGCAACTGCAGAGTGAGTTACAAAGTTTACTTGTGAAGAATACTTTGACTGTAATGTCGATGACCAGTCCTGGTGAGCTTTTGTTGATCTAAACATAGGAAGTGTCTGACATGGTTACATAATCAAGGTCAGTTATGCTGCCCCTGGCAGTCCAGTAGCAAACAGATATTAAATTTAAGCACATGAGTCAATCAAGAACATTTAAAATATATTGTCCCCATTCACACAGAACAACATTGAATGTATACAGTACATAGAGACAATCTGACTGGACCAAATTGAGTTTAAGACATGGACAGCTGTATTCCTCTGGGGTTAGAACCCATGAGCCTCTTGGGCTGGAGCCTGGACTCCCCACTGCTGTCCCATACTTAGAATGAGGCATGACATCACAATATATGTACTTCCTGCGAACAGGCTTTGATGAAGTGTTGTGAAAACTGTAGTTTAAAGACAGGCTGTGGTTGAGCAGACTACCAGAATGACTACTGAGTGCTTGAGGTTTGACGGTAGAAACCATCGCACAAGAAAATAAGCATCTGAAAATAAACAATAACTAAAATTATCTCTTTAACACTTTTTCACTTACACTCTAAAAGTGGTGCTGTAAACCTCTTTTAGATGCTACTTCTAAAGCTGTTATATAAAATAAAGTCGATCATTACGATCTTTTTAAAATAATAATAAAATAAATAATGCATGGATAAAAAACACTGGATTGTTACAATCCTGAAATAAATTACCAACATTTTCTCCTCTCCAATAGAAAAAAAGGTATATTCAGATAAACTCTGCATTTTCCACAGATCTGCATTAAATCATTTAAAAAACTATTTTCATTGTCTTAATCATCCGAGGGGTTTCTATTACTGTAAGGAATTATTATTGGAGCACTGGAAATAAATACTTCTGAAACTGTTCTGCACTGTTTGCAAGAATGCTTTTAATTTTTCGTGAAAAACTGATGTGTTTCACTTTACAAAAACAAAACTTGTACATATATTTTAGATATTTTTTATACGCAAGTTGGGAGTGGACAAAAGCACATGAACTGTTAGCACAGCACTTGCTACTTGCTACTGTACATTGACCCAGTGGCTAATTCTCTCCTAACACAGGCATTTAACAGACAGATGGTTGATGCTAATAGTGACTTTCTATGGCATGATGGTCCGTTGTGGTCACACAGTTGGGTTTTATTTACACAATATTAGAAAGCCATTTATTCCTGCTGAGACTGCAGCTAACTAAAACCTATCCTGGACGCACAGGGCACAAGGTGAGACTACTACGTGATTAGGGTGTCATTGTAACCTTGGTGCATACACACAAGCCCAAAGACATTTAATCTCAGTGATTAATTGGGGGGTGGGGAGAGGAAAAAGGAGCATCAAGTGAAAACCATTGTGAACAGAAAGAAAACATGCAAACTCCACGTAGAAGGATTCACATTGATTTCCAACATATTGTATCTGGGTGTTGGTATGGGTGCTGATCAACTCATGCTTATTACCGCTGTGACTGTGGTCATCCAAGTGCAGAAGCTGCTTTCACAGTTTTATGACCGAGAGAAAAAAGTCATTAACCTTTAATGTAAAAAAGATCGAAGGGTTTTGACATAACTCCCTTTTCTTTCATTCTGAAGATTGCTGTTTTATCAGCACCAGTATATGTGGAAGCTTTGAAAACCACTGATGTGGGGTTAAATATACAAGACGGTTTTCCTGCCCTTATTACCGCTGTGACTGTGGTTTGCTAAAGAATCGCTATGATTTCCAGTGTTACTTGGTTACAGGTGTTTGAGATTTCTATAGTTACAAGCTTTCTTCCAAGAAATTGAAATCTCAATTCCTAACACTCTGCACACCGCAGCTTACACATTCACATGCCATCCGTATATTAAAGCACAGAACTTCAGGTCAGACGGGGCGGGGAGTCTCGCTGATGTCCAATTTAAGTTTCTTGCATTTACAATCTCCACCAGATGGTATCAGCTGGTAATGGCTGGTGTTTTAGGCTGCTGACCGGGCAACTGTGCTTCAGTACTTCAGTCTGGACCCTGTCACCGCAGCCCGGTCTATTGCGGATCTTCCTCTTGTGGTCATTTTGTGAACTGGCCGCGATCTGTGGTAGCAAAGGAAGAGCAGTTAGCAGTGCGCAGGTGTCTACAACTCAATGAGCACAACCAGGTCAACCAGTTAACTTCTGAATAAGTGAACAATGGATTCAATTAAATCATTCAGAACCCAGGAATACCAGACGATGCTGTGGATATACAAACCCAGTTAACAACCATTACCATAGAGAAATAAAGTACACAAAGCCTATATGGCCTTAATAAGTATTCATTAAACTTAAATCAAGAAGTGTTAGGTTTAAGTTGTACAATACACTGGTAATACCTAATTTAGAAAACTGTGTACAAAATTTGGTCACCATGTTAACAAACAACAGGCAGAAACAATCCTGTGCTTGAAGGAATGTCCTACGCTGAGAGTCTAAATTAAATCAAAGAACAAGAGGCAGATCTTTACTCAGAGGGATGTGAGAGTGTGGAACAAGCTGCCCAGCCATGTTGTTGAAGCCAATCCCCTGGCTTCTTTAAAGAACTGCCTGAGTGAGATCCTTGGATTAATCAGCTACTGAAAAACCAAACTAACGAGATGGGCCGCATGGCCTCTCATTTGCAACTTTAAGCTTTTTATAGCCTTAAATATGGATATATCTTTGCAGTTGTACTTACATCCCAGAATACCACACTGTTCTTTCCCTTTGTCTTTGTTTTAATGTGGTTGCCATTATTAGATGAGTAAACGACTGTAACAAGCAAATCATCTATAACATATACGGGGTATAAATAAGCTTCGAATTTCCATGGCTAAAATTTATTTGGAAAATGAATCATTGTATCTCAGTGCACTCCATCTTGGGTTGTTATTTTATGTCTTACAGTCTGTTTCACCTGCATGCTGCACCAAGATGGTCATCATCTCTTTAAGAAATGGATTCAAACACATCCCAGTACAGACTATTGTTTCCTGTGAAAGTCACAGGCTAGTAATGTGTGCGGCCACTGTACACTTTAGAGAATGAACCCAGTCTGAGGGGCAGCAGTAGTGTCTGGGATTTCAAAGTGAGATCACTGTACTCACCTCTAAGCAAGTGCGTACTCAGCTCAGGGGGCTGGCTGCCAGAGAGTAGACCCCACAGGACTCTGGTGTGGACAGAGGCCCAGGGAGCTGTGCTGTGGAGTAGACCTGCTGGTTCTCCTGCTCCTGAAGGCAATAAACATTGAAAACATTGAGCCTGGGAACTCCTGCGCCAATCTCCTCGTAACAAACTCATGGCGCAACATCTTCAGCCTGCGTCAGAAGAGGATACCGTTAACTTATAGTAACAGACTAGACCCTAGACAGGCCAAACTTGGGCCTTAGGCTAAACGTGGAACAGACATTTCTAGATTTAGAGAAACAAAGGACAACTGCAGTCCACAGTCATTCTTGCGCATTTTAGGTTCGTAGTTGTGAGCAGCTAACATTCTTCCTCCTATTTGGTTTATTAGTCTACACCTGTGGCTTCCTTTCACTTTATTTAAGGGATTATTTCTATCTTTTGATCAACACTACCAACAGTGTTGACAACATTATGGCAGTTTCCATAGA